AAATCGGTAAAGTCGTTCTCAAGTTATGGCGTGACCACGGGAAACAGAGATCCATTTTTATATATACAGCGTGTCCCGCGAGGTGAGGGACAAACTTTTTCTGCGTGTTGCTCAGGTCAATTCGAGTCGAAAAAGTCGTATGAACTTGGGTCCGCAAATGCTTCCTTATCGAGATATGATCATTTTATTTTTAGTGGGCGAAAACCACAATATTGTTGGAAAATTGCTTTTATTTAACAAAAAATTTGATACTAATCGTATGAAAACTGTTTACTTGATTAATACGCTGGTGTTTGTTTGTTTGTTGACGGAGTAGTTGTGTCGGTTTGATTCAACTTTGCAAAATTACTGTCATGTTTGTTTTTACAAGTGAAGAATACGGTGGCATGATGTTTGTCTACGGATATTGCAACGGAAATGGCAGAACATCAGTGAACGTATACCGCTGCCGGTATCCAAATCGAACAATACCTGACAGAAGAGTATTTGGAAGAGTTTTGGCACATTTGAAAGCAACAGAATCGGTTCCAAATGCTACTGTAACACGTCCATCAGAAGCTGCCCATGACTTAATACTGGATAGTGTTGGACGGTCACCATCAATCAGCGTTCGCAGAATATCACGTCGCACTGGTGTTAGCCGAATGACTGTGTGGAGAACAATGCATAACATTGGTTTGTACCCATTTCATCTGCAACCTGTCCAAGCTCTGCTGCTCACTGATTCGGATCCTCGTATGCAGTTTTGTAACTGACTCCTCGCAAATCGTAATCTTGTTAAAAGATTTTGTTCACCGACGAATCTACTTTTACTCGAGACGGCGTCAATAATTTGAGGAATTCCCATTCTTGGCAGCTTGAAAATCCCCACACAACTGTCGAACAGAATTTCTGATGCGGCCTGGTGCGGTTTGTTAGGGGATCATTTAGTTGGCCCTTTGTGTTTTTGACGGTCGGTTGATATCTGAAGTTTATCTTCAATTCTTATGAGAAGAACTGCCTGTGTTGTTAGCGGATATTTCGCTGCAGAGAAGACAACAGATGTGGTTACAGCATGACGGTGCTCCGCTCCACAGTGGTGGAAATGGGACTGAGTATTCAAATAATACTTTTCCTGGGAGTTGGACTGGACGACGGAGCGCAGCTTCTTGGCCACCCCGCTCGCCCGATTTAAATCCCTTGGATTATTAGGTGTGGGGACATATGAAGTCTTTAGTGTATGCAGAGAAATCGCGTACCAGGGCTGAACTGCTCCGTAAAATTGCTGAAGTCGCTGACGACATAAGAAGTAATCGTCTTGTTATTGGGAAAGCCACCAGTCACATTATTAAACGGGCTATTATATTTTTACAGTGTGAAGATGGACAGTCTCAACAACTATACTATTGTGAATAGTTATTTTTATTGTACCTAGTAATTTTGTGTTAAATAAAAGTAATTTTCCATCAATATTGTAGTTTTCCAACCATTAGCATCCTAAAAATGAAAAAATCATTATCCCGATAACGAAGCATTGGCGGACCCATGTTCATAGGAGTTTTTCCACTCAAATTGAACTGAGGAACACGCAGAAAAATTTTGTCCATTACATTGCGAAACACCCTGTATACAGATTGCGAAATATATCAGACTTTGGTTCATTAAAAAACATTACTTAGCTTTGGAATACTTTTTCTATGAAACGCTCGTATCGTTGACAAAGGCACTTCCTACTTTATACTCACAGACCAGAATTGCTCTAGACGGTGCCTCTCAATGTGTGCGCTTCAATGTGCTGCTTCTGTCTTTTTTGAGAGTTGCTCTGCTGCCATCTATCTGGAATTTTTACGGTCGTCCAAATTGTCTCTCTGTCAGTGTGTTTCGCAGCCTAAGGCTTAGTTCTGATGTCACGTATCCCACGCACGTTGAAGTGGCGGGTTTGTCGAATCGGTGAGGAAGGATGTGGAAGAAGCTATTTATGCTTGGTTAACATACAGAAGAGTTAAGTAAGGTGATGGAGAGGTGCATAAATCGCAAGCTTCTGGACTACCTCGAACGTCACAGCTTGATTAGCGACAGGCAGTACGGTTTCCGGCACCAACGATCCACAGGGGACCTCCTAGCTTACGTCACGCAACTGTGGAGTAAACTCATCCAGTCTCATGGTGAGGCTCATGTCGTTGCTCTTGACATCACGAAAGCGTTCGATCAGCTGTGGCACGCTGCCCTCTTGAGCAAACTTCCATCCTATGGCCTCCCAGAAAAACCTTGCAGCTGGGTGGCTGACTTTATCTCTGGCCGCAAGATATCCGTCGTAATTGACGGGTTCTCCTCTTCATCCCACAACGTCAACGCGGGTGTTCCCCAGGGATCGGTCTTGGCTCCGACACTGTTTCTCTTACATATCAACGACCTCCTTTCCTGCACGATCAACCCAATCCACAGCTTCGCCGACGACAGCACTCTGCATGCAGGAATTCAGAGTGACAAGCCGATCTCTGCCGCTGAGTTAGAAAAAAGAAGACTAGCGATGACTTCCTCTCTGACAAGAGACCTGGAGGCTATCACTGCTTGGGGACGCAACAATCATATACAGTTCAATGTTTCCAAAACGCAGTACTGTACTTTGACGAACAAAAAGCGTCCCTGCGCTCACCCGGTTTCGATGGATGGTCGAGTTCTGTCAAAGAGCCATTCATTTTGGCTGGTCGGAGTCCAGATCACCGAGGACCTGATCTGGCACGAACACATCTCGTCAATAGCTGCAGCTGCTGGAAAAAAGCTAGGCTATTTGTTTAGGGCTAAGAAGTACTTTTCTCCGCATGACCTTCTCACTCTATACAAGGCCCAAAAAAGGCCTAGCCTCGAGTATTGCTCGCACGTTTGGGGTGCTGCCGCCCCGACTACATTATCCATGCTCGATGCTGTCCACAGGAGGGCGGTCCGACTGATCGATGACTCTTCACTAACAGTCACTCTCGGGACTCTTTCGCACCGGCGGGCTGTCGGCGATCTGGCTCTTTTCTACCGTTACACCAACGGGCTTTGCTCCTCAGAGCTCTCTTCCATGATGCCGTCGCGCGATGTGCCTGCCAGACAGACCCTCCTAACTTTGGCGTCCCATCCTAACCGTGTCAAACTTCGTACATCCATAACCGGCCAATACGATCGCTCCTTTGTCCCGAGGGTGTCGAGATTGTGGAACAATCTACAAGAGGAAGCTTTTCCCAGTTCTATTAACCTTAGGCAGTTCAAAAATCGTATTAATAAAATTTCCTTGGGATCATCATAGCAGCCGCGGTAGTCCGGCATTTAGGCTTCTGCCTGCGCGGCTGCTTCTTTATAAAAAAAAAATAAATAAAATGAAGTGAACGATTTTCCGCAGGTTTATTCCGTATACTCTTTCCCAGCCTTCGGAAACATGAACCGATCTACTTTATATTGTCCGTAAAATCGTTGAAAGGCACGACAGAATGATTTGCTTTTATTGTAATCTTTAACTATATCAAATCTACCTAACATCTTTTTTCCTCGTCTTAGTTGGATATGCAAAAATTAGAACCATCTCCTGCCAAACGGTTTTTTGCAGCTTTATGAATGCATCAAATGACGAGCACCAACTGAACAGGCAATGGGAATATCTACAGGATGCGGCAGCATAATTTCCTTTTTTAAGATACGCGCAATTCAGTCGGTTGATGTCGAAGTCGAGCGCTAGTAGTCAAGTGACAGGACTATAAATACAATACAGTTCAGTTGCCAGCATGAGTTGGAGCAGTGAGGATCGTGCTTTTGCCGATGATGCCTCCTTTTTGAGCGGATGTTCTGTGATCGCAGCGCAGCGCGCCGTTCGGAATCGCTTTAATTTAGCTTCGTTAGCGCCTGTCCCGGACCGAAAGTCGATTGCGTGGGTCACAACCTTCAGACAAGCTGCAAGTGCAGTAAGACGAAGTGCTGGTGTGCCTCGGCCCATTAGATCACCCGAAAACATTGAGGCAGTGAGAGCTTCAATGTTGCGATCACCACAGCATTCTGCGCGCAAACATGCGTCTAAGCTTAGACTTTCCTACTGTGCAGGGGTTAACTGAACGTGACTTCAGTTTTCGGATGAACGCGCCTTCTGAAAGTCGTTCCTGTAGAGGCTATTGTTTTTTTTTTCAGTGATGAAGCCCATTTTTATTTCTGGATCCGTCAACAAATAAAAGATGCGCTACTGGACTCACACCAATCCTCGAGAATTGCATCAAAAGCCTTTGCTTTCACCTAAAAGTTATAGTGTGCTGTGCTGTTTTTTGAGATGGAATTATTAGTCCCTGGTTCTTTGAAGAAAATGAAGTCACAGTGACAGTGAATTCGGACCGGTACGTAAACATGCTACAGGAGTTCCTTTTCGCTGTAAGATGAGTTGGACATTTGGTTCCAGCAAGACGGTGCAACGGTACACATTTCAAGAGCATTGATGGCTGTTTTGAGCGAACACTTCCCAGAGCGCCTCATCTCAATTATGAGCGATTTGGAGTGGCAGGCTCGGTATCCCGATTTGATATATAGAGATTTTTTTCTAAGGAGTTTCTTGACAAAGCATGTTTACGTGAATCGTTCAAGGACCCTACAAGATTTGAAGGCCTACATAAATCAGGAAATTGTCAACATAACCCCTTTTATGCAAGAGTCATGACAAACGCGAGAAATCGGTGTACTCAGTATATGGAGGATGTCGATTATTTTCAAAACTATGTAAAACAAAACTTTAGGCATGCGCCTACATCACAAAAAAAATAAAAATGTTCGGATTCATACAATGGGTTTTATTAAACTTTCAAAGAAGGAAGATATGCCGCACCCTGTATTGAGATACTTTGCGATTGGTACTGTCGTACGCGCGTTTTCATGTGAATAGCTAGTATTACTTCCGTGTACTTTTGAAGCCAGCGTCGGGCGAACGTGCACCGGATCATCTGAACTTAGCCTTAGGAAACATGTAAATATGTGGTAGAGGCTACTTGTGCTTGTCTAACATACAGGAGAATCAAAGGATGTATGTCACTCCAGGGTGATGAAAATACTCACAGTGTTGGTAAGAATTATAGTTGAACAAAAATCATACAAACAAACTAAATCTGAATTATTTTAGGATGCAGTGAATACATACTAATCAGTACAGAAGGTAATTCTGCAATTCAATCACAGTGGCAATCCCAAAATGCAGAGGTTTCATATAAATGGACACGACAGAATACGTTACTGTTTTTGGATTTATATAAGAAATATAAGCAATTGCTGATGGCTGGGAAAATAAAACTAAAAAATGTGTACGAATCCATTGCCAATGCCAGTGAGATCAACCAGAGAATGAGAACGTGGCTCCATCAAACTGTGAAAATCGATGGAAGGTATTGGAAAGAAATTACAAAAAAATTGTGACAATAATAAAAAAACAGGCAGCGGTAGAGGCTTTTTTGAGTATGCGGACATAATGGCCGACATATTAGTGGACAAAAAGAATATCAATCCAGTGCTCCTGTTATCAAGTAACACGGTAGAACACTTAAAGGAACCCGAGATATCTGATACAAGCAGGGTTGATATGCTGAACACTCCTGCATTGGAATCACCAGACGAGCAATTATTAACCCCACACTCATCCAAAGAAACACCACGACGCCAACATCACAAAACTAAAACGTATCCTAATAAACGTCTGAAGTATAACATTTTACAAGAAATCAGAGACGATAGGAGAGAGTTCTACAGTTCTAAAGCCTACAATTAATTCTATATCAAAATCTAATTGTAACTTGATATTTTATAGATACTGTAGGGTAGTCTTGCAATATTTATTACTTGGATGGAGTAGAAACTTTTTCTATTGAAGTACGATTCTGGATCTTGTGATGGTTTATCAATTCTAATGTGTGTACCATCTAGAGCACCTATCGCACCTGGGAAGTTATTTTCTGAAAATGTTGGCTTATAATGGCTTTTTCCTCTTCATCTGGCCATCTTTTTACTTCTGGGGCAAGGTTACTCAAAAAATACGTAAGCCGTTTTATAATCTTGTGCAAGCTGCTTACTGATATGTTGAATCTGTCGGCTACATCTCTGTTTGAACAAGCCTCATTTCAAGCATACCATAAAAAAACAGTTATAAACTGCAGTGCGCTAATTTTCTCTGAATCACCTTCTCTGCCGGCTGAAAAATATTGTGATACAGCAAATTTTTTAGCAAGATACTCTGTTTTTTGCCGGCTCATACGGAAGTGGTCAAAATATACGTTGTCTGGCATTTGCCGAACAACGTCTTCAAAATATCCCTCACACTTTGGTATTTGAATGAGGTCCAATGTCTCTTCTAAATCATCGCTAGAGCTGAAGTGCTCAGATGCATCACTGATATCTGTAAAATTAGTCTATACATTCGCTTATTTACAACAGCAGTAAAAAACTTACCAGACATTGCTACGTGTCCTGTCAAATAAGTTGTTTAAAAATTTTTACTCACAACTAAACAAGTAGATCACGTTCAAATTGCCCATCGATAACTGCGCATGTGCGAACTCTGCGTCCTTCGACCGATTCAGGAACTGTTAGAATCAGTTCAGGACTAATTCAGAACCGGTCAAATCGGTGCCGCGATCGCTGAACTAACTGTTCACTGATGGTTCTCTCTATACCGCGAACGCTGTTTATGACACTGCGCAGGCGCGAACGGTTTATAACCATTCAGAACTGATACCGCGATTTAAGCTATTATGGACCAATGGAAAATACCTTATCGAAATGCAATTTGACAGAAGCTGTCAAAGGTCTCTGAATATTAGTGATTTCTATTGAAATATTGAATAAAATCGTGAAAATTCGACTGTATTATAAACAAGACCACTTTTTGATTGCAACATGATGCTTTTGTACAGAAAAAACAGGACAACTTTCATCTATTTTGATATATGTTATAGGTATACATTTAACAATCCATTTTCCCCGTCAGCGAATGGGAATGCGGCAAATAATAGGTCGATTTTCTAGCTGTTAAATTTGGCAGCAGATTTGGACGTTTGTTAATGCATGGCACTCTCGAATTTACCAACTTCAATATACTGAAAGTTATCATTACATACCTGTTGAATAGTGTGGATTTGTCTGTATTTTGCAAGAAAATAGAATATAAAATGCATTCCATCCAATTCCTCATCTTCCTTTACGTCATAATAGTAATCATTTATTAATTTATGGGTTAATGAATTTATTCAAAGCAATAAAAACATGATGTCTTCTCCATCCTAAAACACAGATAATATGTGTAAGATGTGTCAATCCCTACATTTCCTTGATGCATAATGCAATTACTATGGACAAAAAATTATGAAAAATGTTTCACAGATAATGGCTTTCAACCCCAAAAATCAAAAAAACTACTAATAACTACAGTTTTTGGTCTATTTTTCTTTTTTGACTGGCGGGGATATCTATCTGACACTCGCAGGGTTGCCAAGCTTAACGACGATCACGTCCCGTGGTGGAGGGTGCGAAATGAATCTTTTACATTTGCTGGTTTTGAATTTTTTTCGTGAAAATTCACTAGGTATCATGACTATAAGCATCTTTGGTAGATTGTTCGATCCGGAATGGGAAAGATCTCCTATTTATGAAAATATTTTTGGTATCATCTAACCGTTGCAATCAGTGCACAAAAACTGTGACATATGATTTATAGCATAACCCGCTGCCTCATCAATACAAATTTAACATACAGGTCGCCTAGCCGTGGGGATGCAGTGGTCGGGATGAATATCACGGCAGCAACTCATGATTTGGGCATGTCTGGTAACAACGTATGAAGTGAAACTCCCTAACTTCACAAATTTGAAGATTTTGTACAATTTCTTTGAAAATGATGAAAGATATGTCTGATTTGGCAGGGTAATGTCGCAGCCAAATGGCAGTCACTCTTTGTGACACAGTCTGGATCGAAAGATGACGATACTTGTGAAATGTATTGATACTTCTAAATATAGGATCGTATCGAACACCCCTACTGTCAAGATGTATAATCCGAAGTACCGACGGAGCTATATTGCGGAAATAATTTTAAATCTTCATTTCATTTTTTCATGTGTTGTGCAACGATTTTGGGAAAAATGTCACGAATAGTCTTATAAAGCAGAGTAGAGTATATTTCAACAGTTGGCGCAACTTACTCCACTGGGACCAGGAGGCTGAAACGGGATATTAATGCACAATCTGGCAACCCTGTCGCACTCTCACAAAATGGCCGCTGATAACCACACAAGTCACCGTGTTGACTGGTACCAAGAGTTGACAGATCCCACACATGTGTCACTCCTTGAAATGCAATAATCGGCTGTATTCAAATAATGTCTAATATAAATATAACCTAGATGTGTACTCGTGAAAAAAATTTTTTTGCAGGTTTTATGTTTGCTGGTAGCTTTAATGCATATATTTGGGAATTTCTTAATCGCTGTGAATATAGTGTGGATGTTTGTTCAGTTCCTGAACAACGAAAAATATTCAACTTTATGGATGTATGGATATCAAAAAACCTGAATGGTTTTGTGGGAATATCAATCTAAGGTGTCATAATGGTTCTGATGAACGGCAAGTAAATGAATGAATGTTTGGAAACGAGCAATATCGTTTTGTAGAGCCTGTCATCAAGTAGGTGCTTAGTGGCTATCTGCACGCGGTTTATAGGAAAAAACACCCAGTATCACATATCAATTGAAGAAAATTATATAAACATGAATGAAAAATCAACAATAGTAATTAATACATGAATTTTATTCAAAAATCCGACATTTCTTTAAATTTTGACTGAAATATATGTAATTTCTTAATATCCAATAAGCTGGTGATGTTTCAATGACAAGCTGTCATCTCATACTTTGATAGTATTTTGTTTTCAATATTTCATAGCTATTGGTTGCTAAAATTTGTTGATTGGAACTTGAAGCTCATTCGCTGTATCTGACGGTCTGTTACCCTATACATGGAGAATAACGGACTGTTGTTGGTGAAGTTGACCCTTAGAATGTCAATGAATTTATTGGATGACAGAATAAAATGTCTTGAATGACTGCCCTAATTGTAATTACTAATTATAGATAAACCATTTATTTAAATATAACTTGGAATGCATGTTATAATTTGCTAGCGTCTTTTGAATTCCATCAATAAAGGGATCTGTGTGAAATACTTGTTTTAATTTTAGTACCATAACTATACTTTCGAAAGACACAACTGGTACGTCGACTGAACGCAACCAAAGAAGAGCGTCAACTAAACAGGTAACGCGAGCGTCTAGTATTTCAATACGAGCGTTCACCCACGCGCTTTTTGGGATACTCTGCGTATATTTTCTCACGCATGCTTCGATGTGAACAGCTAGTACTAATTCCGCCTAGTTTCAAAGCGAGCGTCGTCTGAACTTATCGTCAGTGATATTGCACAGATTATCTATATATATATATGTATATATATATATAAATGAATCCCTATTTCGCATGGTTACGCCATAACTTGAGAACGACTTCTTAAGTTTCCTAATGTTGCATACAAGGTTCTTACGAACAGAAAAGTCAAGAAAATTGCGCAGAAAATTGGGAAATCATTGAAAACCTAATGATAATATAATCTGCTCGTTTTGATAGTTTGCTTGAACGCACGCACAGTAGAAAAAATATCTCAAGTACCAAAAGAGACAGGCACTCCTCTCCGCCATCTCTATACCAACAGCTTTGACAGCTAGCTATGTGAACATTTCTTAAGCATCCGTACTCTGTGATGGACCCTTCAAGAGAAACTGCAGTGTTGCCTAACTGTTATCTTTGTCAGTTAAATCTATAAATAAAAATGGAGGTTGAAAATACGTTTCTTTTGCTTAATTGACTTTTACTATTCTATCATTTTGAACTTGACAGGCACGCCGCAAATTTTATTATCATTTAACAGCGTTTACCGATTAAAAAAATATTGTTTTATTTGATTAGTAGTGCACAGTCGATTAGACTGGAGCTTTAATTCAGTTATCAGTTAGTTCAGTGAGTTTTTTGAGAAGTATTTGTTCAAAAATAAGTAACAAGGGTGAAAGTTAGTTCATCGCAATCACGCCTTATATTAAAATTGTCATTCTGCAATTAGACGTACCAACCTAGGTCGCAGAACTCGCAATGCTGCAAGTCAAAGATATGTCTATACGAAGAAGTCAAATTGACGAGCAGCGAGAAGCGAAAAATGAAGTTTAACAGATCGAAGGACTCAAATTCAACAGCGTAGGAGTGTCGCATTTATTCCCAATCCAGCTGAATTCAATTATGACGTGGCAATCGATTACACTTCGCAACAAATCGTTACTATTAGACCAATAAACGTGTTGAGTCTACATTGCAAGGCCTTCAGGTCTAAAAATAAAACCCCTGATGGATTACGTTGCGTCAGTGGAAAGATCAAATTGACTCCATTGGTACCACCACCAAGGCCTCAACATTCATTGGTTTCCAGAAATGGACCAGATTTTATACATTTTTTGACTCTTATCAAGCAATACATTAACGGCTTCCAAATGACATTATTTGACGCAACAAAATTGATTCCACATAATTATATGCCTACTTCCAAGGTAAGTTGATGAGGGTATGACAGTGCTGCCAACGTATTTTGCCACATGGCGGTACAAAAACTTAGCTATACAATTACCTATATTCTATATATTTACCCTTTTATTTTTATTATTCATTATTCATTCCAGTTCATAGCTAAGACAGGACATCGCCTGCGGGGTCAGCTAGTAGCTAATATATATTGTTGACAATCCATGTATTTTATCAGAGCAGAGTAATCGTACATCGAGAAATCTTCAAAACATCTCTAATTTCTGAAATGGTTCGCCAATTTTTAATGAGACATTCTCAGATTGGGTAAGGTACTCACTTACTTTAGTGCCTTGTGGAGAAAGGTCTGATTTTTCAATCAGACACCTGGCAGCCTCAAGATAATAATCTTTCATATAAGTCCTTGAGCCTTGAAGATGCCTATTTTATGCTTTTTCAAGCGTCAAATCGCTTTCTCAACTGTATAATAACGTTACCTAAAACTTTTTTTATTCAACATTATCAGAAAAGACTGACAGAACCTGTTAGGTGCGAAAAAAGCTTTTTTTATTTTGTTTGTTTGAAAGAATTATCTGAAAAATTGGGGGTTACCAACCAGCAACCTCTTGGTTCATGTTAAAAGGCAAATTCAGGACAAACCCATGTGAGTACACACTCAGAGCGAAATAGGTAGTATACAGTGTAGGCAGGCAGTCGTGGTAATTTTCTTTTAATGACAAATAAAGTGCAAGTGCAGTACGATCATGTTACCACGCCTGAGAAATTC